TAGATTGTTCAATAAACCAATTAACGATCTCTACGGCGTATTCAGTAACGAAACACGTTACAATATTGTGACATACTGTGCTATGGAGGACATCCCCTTCCCCGCCAGCGGTGACGTAACAACATCGAGCACTGTTGCTGCTATGGTAACAGGCCAGTCAACACTCCACCCCCCCCCCCACAGTGATGTGGCAGCGCTTCCCACTGTGACGTAACAGGCAGCAACACCTGTAAACGCGGCGACTAGGTAACAAGGAAGCGAGGCGTTTTCCCATTGTCTGGCTGATAGTTTATAAGAGAACTACACTGCCTAAGGAGTCAGTTAAAAATGTAGCAGCCACTGAAGACAGTTGGAATATAGCAGCAGTCGTGGAAAGAAGAACTGGATGTGTGGTTAGAAGATTTTATAGTTCGCGATAACTGAGAAGTCAGCCAGTGAAGACTTATTGTGTGACTTCAAGATTTTGTGTGTGCCGTAGAACAGTTATATTGGGAGTGTGTAATTCACAGAGACTTGTATAGCTCCCGTGTTATAAATACGTGAAGACTACTGAGGATAGAGTGAACAGAATAGTGTGTAGGGTTTGTAAGTTGTGCAAACCCGCAACAGTGTTATAATGAATTGTAGTTACGATTTGTACCTTAACCTAGGACAAACTATTGAAATGAATTATACTGCTACAAAATGGAGAAACAAGATATGCAGCGAATAATGGAAATGCTGGCGAAGGCAGAGGCCAACAGAAAAACCCAGAAGGTAGAAATGGAGGCCAGTCGGAAGAAAGACAAAGATTTCATGGCGAAAATAGACGCCAACCACGAAAAGGAGGCGGCCGATAGGAAGAGATAAAGGCCACAATACAATCTATGCGGTCACAGTTGGATGAGACACTCCAACATAGAATTGAAGCGATCAAAGCAACGACGGAAGCCATGCACGAGAATATGGGCACCAGCCACATGGAGATGGTGGCTGTAATCAAACCAGAAAGAGATGTAAAGACGATAGCCTGCCAAGAGATGGAGGCACGTCTAGAAGAGAAAAGCCGGCCTCAGGGGACACGAAACCTGCGGCGGCACAACAAGAAGAGGTCCCCACTGTGATACCGGTTGTAGAATCTGAAGAAGAAACAACAGATACCAGAAAAGAGACGATGGCCTGCCAAGAGATGGAGGCACGTCTAGAAGAAAAAAGAGCCGACCTCAGTGGACAGGAAACCTGAGGTGGCCCAACAACGAGAAGTCCCCAACGAAAATGCCATAGTGAAACCAGTCAAAGGATGGAAGAAGCAGTATAGGGGCAAGAAGCAAGCTGCAGGGTGACATGGAGAGCCAAAGGAACTAACCCAAGGAATTTGTGGATCCTGGATGAAGTTGGCTGCCTCCTGCAGGAAGGTGTCCCGCCGTGCAAGAGTGGCATGGCTCAAGAGGAATATCTTCAGGAATTCTTGAACCCAAAGAAATTGTGGACCGCAGAAGAGAGGTGACACAAGGATGTCCTGTCGTGCAACAGTGGCATGATGCAAGAGCGACATCGTGAAGAAGAACTTTACGCAGGGAACTGGTGGACCCGGGAGGAAGCGATTGGTCGCGGCTGACAAGAAAATGACTAGCTGTGCAAATGTGACACAGCGCAAGAGACTCAGACTTCAGGGAGATCAGTTGGAGTCACACACAAGCCTGCATAAAGATGTGTCAGAGAAAGCACGAGAAGAACTTGAACGTGAGAGGTTGACACAAGGACTCGTCCTGAAAGGAAAATTTGAGGCATGTGCAAGTGCACAAGCAGATGTGCTGCACAGAATCCCAGCAGATACGAACATCAAAAACTGGACACTGTGGAGGGGTCGACCCCCTCCAAAACGAAAAAGGAGCAGAACGGCGTCTTCAGTGGCAAAACACGTTACAATATAACAATACTATAAAAATGTAAGAGTATCTCTTCTGACTTATCTATAAGTCTTCTAAGCAACCAGTAAGCCATTAATTGCAGCACAAACAGACCAGATTAACAAAGTAACTTATGATGGAAGGCTTAAAGAGTGAGGCTGGAAAATTGAGCTGTCCAAAGACACAATCAAGACTGCATAATTTTATGTAGCTCTGATATACTAAGGCATTAACTATTTTTTTCATCTATGCTTACCATTCACTGGTTTGATCTCTGCTATTTATGGACTTACCAGAGGAGTTTACTCTGTTACATTCTTTTTCTTCATCTACCCAACAATTTACCACAATGTAATATTCCACTGCACAGCAGCCATCCTGCAGAGAATACTAAAAACAATAACAGAATAACAGTGCTCTATATTAAAACTGTTCTGTGACAGTACCATTTTGGAATTAAATGTTTATTTATTTACTTGTAGTATAATGATGCTGTCAGTAACTTGGACTACACAGTGTCAAATGTCTGGGTGGTTGTGAATAATGAATTTGGAAAGCACAAGGATGGAAGCAGTCACAGACTAATTTAAGGTACCATCCTGCCATTTCTGGGGGGCTGAGGAAACCCACAAAAGACCTCATTGAAGATAGATGGTACCCCAGCACACGATCAAACCAGACCCTCCAGAACACAAGTCAGAAGCACTGCTGCTTGAGGCAACTTGCTCAGTATCAAAGTTAATGACATTTGTATTTCTTTCATTATTTCAAAAGGGGGGATGGGGAAAGGCACAGTAAAATTTCAGGGTTGTATCCCTACCAATATTTGTATACCACTTCTAGGGCCTGATTGTACTTCAATTACAGCTGTTCACACTGGAAAGACAGTGACATCACAATTAGATATATCCTGAAGCAACACATGATGTATATCGAAGTAACTCTATTGCCTGGTAATTTATGTTGCCTATTACTCGTGGCTACCACTGTAAGCAGTGTTCCCTCCACATCATCCAATGAATCATCTTATGACACCATGCATTAAGGTGGTCTGCATCACAGTAGATAATAATTATGGCTCAGAACAACCAACTATTGAGTTAATGACAGTTACAGAAACATATCAATGACTATGTGACATTTCTATTCTAAATTACTCAAAGTGGAATGTTTCTGAAAAGCATGCAGCAGAGTTACTGATTTTAATTATTAATGTAAAAACAATCACACCCAGAGGCATCTGATGCCTCCTTTTATGATTCTGCATTTTCTGCAACATAAGTTCCTTTACTGACCATGTTCACAAACTGTCAAGTGTTTTGATTTCCTTAGTGTGAATGTACAGGTGATATACTGAATATCACTGACTACTTATTGACAGCTTAGTCAGTATAGTGACTGGCTATGGGCTGGAGGACCAAGAGGTTGGAGTTCAAGTCCCGGTAGGGTCAAGAATTTTCTCTTCTCCATGCTGTCCAGATCTGGAGCTTACCCAGACTCCTATCCAATTGGTACAGGGAGCTCTTTCCCTGGGAGTAAAGCGGCCGGGGTGTGAAGCTGACCACTCACCTCCAACTAGTACCAAGGTCAAGAATACGTGGATCTATACATTCACTCCCCCATATGCCTTCATGGTATAATGCTTAATTAGTTAAGCACAGGGACAACTTAACCTTACTTATTCCAGAAAGTACCATGCTAAAATCTCAACCATGCTGCTAGTTGTCCTTAGATGTTTGTGGTTTTCCTCAGTATCTCCTAACAAATCATAATAGAATATGAAATCCATCAATCAAGAAAGATCACAATATTTTTCCAGTCCCCTTTCCCCAAACTTCCTGGCTATTTTAAACAATCTTTATATCAACAAGACTCCATAAACTTGCAGAGAACATGAAAATTTAGAAAACTGTTGTGCATGTTGAAAGTTCAAGCACATTAAATCAAGATCATATAACATGCAAAGCAAATATAAAGTACAAGGTTAATGTGTCTCTCTCTGCCTAATTAAGCACCATGTCAGAAAGATGTACTTATGAATGAATTTCTAAAAATATGACAGTTTTTGACAGTGTCATAATTGTGGTTGCTACTTTAATTATTATAATTATTTACCTTGTTACAAACCTCTCGATTCAAAGTCAAGTATACTCACATTTACATTAATGCCCAAAATTTACACACACCTGACAAGATACTGAAGGGGGGAAGGGGAGTGGGAGATATAGCTCCACACGTTCTTAATCTCGGCATTAGATGGAGGTGAGCAGCCAGTTTCATGTCCCAGCCGTGTTACCCTCCAGGAGAAGTCGCCAGTACCCAATGAATGGGTGGGCACCAGAGCTGATCTGAACACTAGAGAAGAGAAAAATTTTTGCTCCTGCCAGGAACCAAACCCCATTTCCTTGGTCATCTAGCTCACAGCCTGGTCAATATGTGTATACCAACTGAGTTTTCCTACCTCAAAATATAAGGATCATATGAAATTTATTTACACAATTAAACATATACACAAGAATATTTCTGAATGGGTACACTGATAAAAACATTGTCTTTCTTTGATCCTGATCATTACAACATAAAATAAGCCAAGGCACAATAAGCACAACACACAAAAATGGAAATGAGGAACACACAAGGATATATTATACTATAGTGAACTACTCAGTACATCAAAGTATGAGTCCTATCAGGGAGTAGTCATCCTTCCATCAGAGAGCTGTGAACACACCACTGTGTTTACAATATTACAATTGGAAAGTCACTCTTAAGACACTTCCTCAGGAATCACGTGCAAATTCCATTTTCTGAAATTGACAGCATCAAAATTGTTAACATTAATTTCAACCAACATATGCAGACCAATGTCAGTATATACAATATCAATAACATCACTGAAGTCTGACTTTAAAGGGTTAATGTGGACTCCAGGCTATAGTGGGAGCCCAGTATTCCCTACATTCATAGCTTTGATTGTCAGAAGTGTATGAAAAATTCAGTCTGCATCTGGGCCAAATCAGTTTTGAACAGAATTATGGCACAACTTCATACAAGTTCATTCACAATCGATGATATGACGCAGAAGATACCAACTACAGACATCATCAACATTATAGCAAGATTAAACTGAAAAACATTCAGTTACCAAGATACTTCCAAGCCGAATTCATGGATATATAGTGCAACATATATAATGTGACATATAGATCCATAGGCAGGCAACGAATCGATAAGCACATTTCTGTGCAGAAAGATTGCTTATAAACAACCCACTGCTAGGTAATGCCTGCAACAATAGAGGACGTTCATTGCTAGGCAATGGATGTGTCTTCCATGGAGTCCTACCCAAGGCTATATAACAAAAAACTGATGCTGATCAGTCTGAGCCCTTATTTATTTGGATGATTACAGATGACTATGAAATTTATTTCTAATCAATTGTCGGTAATTTTAATTTCAAAAGTCTTATGTTTCAATATTACTGGAACTTTATTGTGATCTATAATATCATATTTCATTGTCTGAGACGTGCAATATGGTGTTCATGTTGAAATTTCTAGATTCTGGCAGGACCAAGGAGACCGGAGTTCTGACATTTATGAACAGTCATAAATTTAGCTCGGGTACAGGGAACCGGATGCGCCTAAAAGGAAAGTCAATGAGAAGGACAGGTCAGAACTTGTTACAATTTCCTGTGAATGAGGGCCATTATGATTGAGTTGCCTCGTTCACACTTCCCTACGGAAGATGGAATGACATGTATATGTCCAAACCATGGAGAATTCGAATTCTTTCAAATTCCCGGAATTAGGTGTGCAAGCCATTCCACAAAAGAGACTTTCACCATATTCTGAAGTGAACGGATGTGACCGTTGCACGCTCCAAGACATAGCTTGCAGATCGTGTAACATGTTATAATTTAAAGCATAAGGATATATTAAATTAACAGTGTGGTTTGGAGAACAATAAGTGAATAAACATCAAGTTGGATCAACTCCCAGAATATCGCTTGCTTCGGCATTGCTACCCTGAGACTCATGCAAACCGACCCAGCTCGTTTCCTGTACCTATACCGACCTTCCTTAGTTTGATCTGTGAGGACAACTTGCAGTGGCCATCATACACTGTCCTAAGGTAGAAACAGGAGTAGCAGGGATAGCACCATTCCGACTGACCTGGTATAAACAAAGGCGGGTTGGAAAAGAGCGGTGCCAAAACCAACAATGACTTTGACTTTTCTTTTTCACTGTGACCCTGCGAGTCGTAGGAGGTGACGAAAAGGGAAGTCTCAAATCTGAGACAGTAAAATATGGTCGCGAGTCTCAAGGGACTCAGACCCAAGAAAGACTGCGCTGGCAAGGGCCAGCAGCATATATAAAAGACAGACCCGTCCTCTCATGAGAGAGGGCGCCCCTCAAAAACAAGACCATAAATGTCAAACAGTAATAAATATCTGGTCATTAGTCCCAGATGGGGCTCGACATCAAGACTTACTGACTGACTGACCATCAGTCGCAATGTGACTTTGACTTGACTGACTGATAACTGATAAAATAATGCAGGCAACAAGCAGAAGTCATACAAAATCGTGAAAATGCAAATGTTCACAACATTGCACATGGTGAACCCCAACACAGGAAATATAACAGGCTTAAACTTGGCAGCAGTCAGACATATGACTGTTCCAGTGACTAGAATATTGTTGTAGCAGAAGCTACTAATGACAGGGCATGATCTGCTGTACTGAGCCAGGACTGACTGAGGCCTTATATATGTTGTATATACATATATTTAATAACATGTAAAATGTAAATTGTACATACTGACAACAGACTTGCTAGTGCTGACTGTGACTTTGGCAAGTGACAGACCCATCCTCTCATCAGAGAGAGTGCCCCACATCAACAAGCCTGCAAATGTCTGACAGTAATAAAGATCTGGTCTTAAGCCCCACATGGGTACTTTATTCCAAGACAGACTGTTGATCTTAACATAACTTTAATTTTGAGAGTTCAGTTCAGTTCAGTTGGAAGTCAGAATAGTTCCAGTGGAGTGTCCCATCGGAAGAAGATGAAATGTGTCAAATAGTGAGATGTCAAGAATCCAGTCAGAATTGAGTAAGTCCTAGGCAGTCTTGGAAGAAGGGTTCAGCTGAAGATTTATTGTGAGTTATTGCAATTTGAGTGACTATACAAGGAATGATCAATAAATACAATTACCAACCCAAACCCTGTCTTATTAGTCACAGCCATACATGTGACAATATACGTAGGTAGGCTGAAAAGTAATGCACACATGCTTGTAGAGCGCGAACGAAATGACCTTCAGAAGTACGCCAGGTGGCATGTGGAAGTAACATTCCCCCTCAATATGCATGCACAGGTTTGAGGTCGTTGCATTCATCCAGTGTATTTCGAGAAGCGGAAGTATGGAGACGTGTTCTAGTGCTATGTCAACGCAAGTTAAACAGCGTGCTGTTATCGAATTTTTAACTGCTGAAAAAGTGACTCCTACTGAGATTCATCATCGTTTAAAGGCTGTTTATGGTGACAATGCTATTGATAGGTCTACTGTAAATCGATGGGTAATAACATTTCGTGGTTGCGGGCCTGGAAAACCCATAATTGTTGATGAAACATGCAGCGGACATCTGATCACTGCCACAGACGATATCATCGCAAACTCGTCGACGATTTGATTCAAAATGACCAGCGAATCACTCAAAAGCGCATCGCAAACCATATTCAAATATCCAAGGAACGTGTCGGCTTCATTATTGAACAACTGGGATACCATAAAATCTGTGCACGATGGGTACCGCGCCGTCTCACAGACGAGAACAAACAGCATTGATTGGAATGCTGCGAGCAACTTTTGCAGCACTACTGTGACGAAGGAGACGACTTTCTTTTGAATACTGTGACGGGGGACGAGTCATGGGTCCATCGTTATGAGCCAGAAGAGAAAAGACAGAGCGCTGAATATCGACATCCGCCTTCTCTTTAGGCGAAAAAGTTCAAAACACAACCATCCGCCAAAAAACTTCTTTTGACTGTTTTGGGATGCCCACTGAGTTTATGTGACCGATTTTCTGGAACGAGGGGCAACGGTAAATTCTTCTCAGTATATACAGACTCTAAAATATATCAGGCGCCGAGTTTGTCGTGTTAGAGGCAGCCTGGCACTAATAATCTGCAAACATACA